TAGTAAACACAAGGTTTAATAAAGTTAATAATTTACTCCCATTTGGTAAAGCAGATTACTAAGGTTAATAGTTTATTCAAACTTCTTTAGCCATTGGACTGGATAAAAAGGTAAATAACTTGTGTGCAATTCTTGAAATGGCATCCAACCAAACAATTAAAAACTTGTTCTGAAGTCTTTGATCAGAACAAATAGGACATAGACTATGGCATTTAATTCATCCTTCAAACTGTGACCACCACCTCAGAGCAAGCAGGAAGGTTCAAACAAAAAAGTAGACTGCTAAATTATAATCTTTCACACACATAAGCATTAAGCATTAAGGACACAAGAGTAGAAGGCTAATTTAAGCCTGCAGTCACCTATTATCGAAACCTCTGAGAAATGACAGTTTTGTGAATATTTTACAAATTAGTCTGCTATAGTGTAAATTTTCTAACTGTGAAACGGCTTAAATATGTTTCCTCATGTATCATTGTCAATGGATGATATGACAGTGTCTGTGTTTTATACTCTCATCGCCCGAGGCCAGTTAAAATGCTCAGTTTATTGATGTATGTAGGGCCAGCTGTTGATTGTCACAACTTGGAAATGGACATGTCTCCTTTATTTACTACATACTCAACAGATGTTCTTATCTTTCACATTGTACTGTTAAAATATTTTATTGTGACAGAGGTGATCAAAGCATCATTTTTGATTTTATTCAATTTTAACTAATTTTGTACCATCTGCCACTTTAATTTCAGGTAAATCCACCCCCATACAGTAGTAAAATCTGCAGTAGGAGTGAGTGATCTTAACCGTGACCTCACAAAGTTTTCAGAAATACAACTGTACCTCAATTATCAAATTCGTAAAATGAATAGCATCAAAAATTATTTATGGTTTCGTCTTTGAAACATTACTTGCCATATTTGCTGTATGCATAGGTACGTAAATAAACTGTTGTGAGCTAGAGTACTCTAAATCACCCAAAAGTAAATTTGTTGAGTTTATGTGCTGCTATTTCAGTAATGGATTGTCGTATCCTTACAATTTCCAAAAATATATAAATTTGCACCATGAGTATTTAGCAGCTCGTACTATAAAGAAAAGAATCTTTTATTTAGTTTCCTGCTGGACGTCAACTCTCGCGTTGACTACAGTTGAATGCACAGAAGGAATTGTTTTCATTCTGCCAAAATTTTCGCTGCAAAATTTTGAATATTTTGAATATTTTGTTTAATTTTGGATCAAATGGACATACTTTCCAATTGTCTACAAGTTTTTATAAATTTTGTAAGAAAAATTCTGCAGGTTTATTTTGTGAAGGTTGATAAAAGTTAACTTAAACTGTAGAGTAATAACCACTATTGAATTAATAAATATCAAAATATTTGACAGTGAAACAACACCAATATTCACATCTGTTGAGCTATTTATTAAATTATTAGTTCTTGTGGAACGACCTCTGTTTTTCACAGATCACCATCACTGTTATAAAATGGAATGGAACCAATAAGTAACAATAGAGAATTCTGATAGCTATGCTTTTAATAACTATAATCTTTATTAAAATCTATTCTTTAATGTCATGAAAATGTGAATGAATAAAGCCGCACAAAAATGTTATAGATTCTCCCTTGTGGTTCTAGTTTCCTACCATTCTTCAGTGGCTTTTAAAAATTAATAAAACATTTTTTTTTAATGACAGTAATAATCTTTTCTTGTGGTTAACCAGATGTTTATAATTGAACTTTGCTAGAAACCAAATCTAAAAAAAATGAATTTGAAAGTGACATTGACATAGCAGGGTTTTAAGAAAAGCCCAAGGGAATATAAACTGCCAAATATGCAAGTAAATGATTGACAGGTGGTCACAACTCACAAGGCTACATTATTTGGGTTTGGCTTTAAAGATTCATGACTTTATTAGATTGCCAAAAGGGGAGGGAACGGTTTTCAATCAAAAGGTCTTGGAAAACTACAGGAGATCTTGTGGAGATTTGTGTTTAGTTGTTTAAAAAAACCTGACTAGATGACAATAATAAAAAAATTACAATTTTGGAAATGTTGATGTAATAAAGTACAATATTTATATTTGCTGTATATGGATACATGTGGATCAACTATCATTTTCATTTACATGTATGTATTGCAGCTTGTCACTGTTTTGCAGTATCATACTGGCTACTTGAAGCTTGTACGTGTACATTATTATAGTTAAGATTGGAAGTTGTGTGTCACATTTGCAGATCCTTTAATCTAGAATCTGTATACACTGTAAATCGTTTAATTTCCGTTGGTAGTAATCATTGCCATTTGATAAGTTGAGATAGTTTTTGAACATTTCATTAAAGTGGGAATAAAAAATGAGAATAATTTTTTTTTATGCAATAATCAAAACTCCCCCAGCCCCCCCCTCGACTTGCTTGTGAAATTTGGCTCTTAAACCAGTATAGAGGTGATTTCAATGTGGCTCTCTCAATTATAATCTACAATGTGAATTTATTAATAGACTTAGATGAAGTCTTGTTAATAATGATTTTTAATATGTTTATTTTCTGAAACTACTCATACCATTTTGCACATTATTTTATTCTTTTGATTTATTAAAACCTGTAATTGATATAATGTATATAAGAGTATGCAAGTTGAAGCGTGTTGAGCTATAGAATAGCAATGTACAAAATTTGTATGTTAAGTTCATTATACACAATGCTCTGTTTTATTGGACATTCCCTTGTATTTGAAATTACTGTTTAACAATTGTTACCAAGTATAACTGAAAGAAAATAAATCATTTATGTTACATTGTACATTTCTGCTGTGTACTGTAATGAAAACAGGAACCGCCTGAAAAAAGGCCACATGGTCGATAATTCAAGGTTTCCTGCAAACATAATCTGTGATCCGTAGCGTCTATTGAAAGAGAGGGGCTGTGAATTTTACATCATATACTTGAAGGTAACCTTGAGATGGTAATTGAAAAAAAAGACATGTGCTGGTAACCAATTGGGGATATCGCTCTATTGCTCTGTGTATGTATGTGTGTGCCTCACAAGCCTTGTTTGGTTGAAGGTCGTCAGATATTTAAGTTAAATGAGGCAGAAAGGTACTGATTGAAAGTAAAGTTTTGGTCAAAAGACTGTCATGGTCAGTGCTATGGAATAATAGAATTGTATTAGTGAATTTGATGAAAATAATATTATTACTGAGCCAGTGTTTTTGTTGTGGTAGTTACGATCAGCTGAGCTTTGTACTTGTACTTGTACGTCTTCATTCACCAGTGAAGTCTACATCATTGTTTCATCGTGCAGTTTTCGTGTTGTTCATTTAACTGTTTTTACTCCTGGTTACCCATCCTCATTGGACTAGAACTCAAACACACCCTGTGCTTTGTTCGCCAGTTAGTGCTGAATTGATCACTATATTGTTGCCATTTGAAAGCTGAAATAGAACATGTGTACATGAATATAAACATATTGCCTTGATCAGTGTCCTTAGAAATGAGGTTAATGGAAAAAATGTTGTCAAGGTGGTCAGCACAATTAGAAATATACATTAGTGCTCACCTTATGTATGACTTTGAACTGTGCCATATTGTAATTTATATAAAAATAGTATACTGATTGAATTTTATTGGAAAAAAATATGTTGCAGGTATTTTGTCTTTGACATCAAGTCCGCTGAGCGGGAATTCATCAACACGCAGCAGCAGCAGTGGCAGTGATTACAGCAACCAGAGTAGAGGATACGGCAGAAAATGTGAAATAAAAACCAACGGGAGCCTCGAAGTCAGTAAACATTTAGAGCAGAATTTACTTGCAACTTGTGTGGGAAGTATCGCTGAGTTAGGTAAGCTTGGTACAAGAATCAAATACTGTGAAATACTTTATTTTAGCTGTAATTAATTTTCACTGAAAATACTTTTTGGGTGTTTGGTATGGATTTTAATTTCATTGGTTTTTGACAAGTTGAATGTAAAATTTACGAAAAAAGTATATTCGCTGGATTTTATTTTCATTGAATCAAAAATTAATTCCAAGCAAAAATAAAGTATTTTACAGTAATTGATTTCTCAATATTTGTATTGCTGTTAGTCTTTTAATATAAATTTGTGATATTTTTGACTCGCATAGCAACTTTGGTGTTATTTCGAAATCATTTTTTCCAGTCTTTTATGTTTTATAAATTGTTCTGAAAGCACATTTTCAATCACAATGTCACGTGTATGACAGATTTATTAATATTTTGCCATAATTGTCCACTCAATATCATATGAGAAAAGTTCTGTCATTGTGCGTTCCATAAAGCATTAGTATTTTACGTGCATATGTTTTATAGATATGAAATGAATTTCTTTTACCACACTATTAGTACAAATTGCAAATCACTAATACTCCAAAAATAATTGATATAAATACCATATTTGCTCCAATTGCATTTTTGTATACTGAATCATTAAAATATATGCTTCTGATGGAACAAATACGATAAAGAAATTCAATATTTAGATTTGTTGCAATTGTATCCTGCCCACTTAGTAGTGGCAAAATAGAAAGTTTTTTTTAAGCACTCTCTCTACTTGATGGATGCTTGCCATTCAAGGAGATATGAGAGAAAAGATCAAATGTCAGATACTACTCAAAATAGAATTTACAGGACTTGGAATCAATGAGCTGATGAAAATATGACATTTGCCAGTTGCTCATTAAAAACAAGTCAAGTCTTTTATTTGAATCTTCAGTAAAAATTGAATACTGTAAAATACTTTATTTTACTTGGAGTTAATTTTCACTGAAAAGACTTTTTTGGTGTTTTGTATGGAATTCATTTTCACTGATTTATGAAATGTAAAGTATAGGAAACAAGGTACATTTTTTTTCCCCTCAATTACCCCATCTGTTTGTTTCAACTTGGTTTCCATCCAAAATCATTTTTATTTACCCCCCCCCCTCGTAATGAAAGATGGCTTGTCCCTGACTAACTAGATGCCTGTTAGTGAAACCGAATCTATATAATGGGAGACTTAAACACTGAAAACACAGCTAAATGTTTTCACCCATTTGTCTATATCAAGTGCAGACTTTTAGCACAATGTTTAGTTTATAACGTAGACACAGAAAATCCAGGCTGGTAACCGAACTTTCTAAAAATTACAGATTTGAAATTAATACTTGATTACATGGCAGTTCCAAAGTGTATTGAGTGATACCAGAAAAGCTTGCTTCTGTTTAAGAAATGTATCATTTGTTGGTTTATCTCATTTCTAACTGATAAATATTCTTTTTACATGGCTCCAGTAATCCTGATATGGAGCAGACACAAATTAGCCAGGGAAATGACTAGAGTAAACTAGTGCACAAACAGGAAGCCAAGAGGTAGCATTTCAAAATCCGGAATGTTTGCCCTTTCTTAGATTTGAAGCTTGGTGATGGATGGATGTATGTGTTCAGTAATAGAAACCTTAATCAAACAGAGATAATGGAAGAGTGTTTTGTGATTGTGGCTTGGAAGATAAAAATAATTCTGAACAGATATACACCTGTGAGGGCGCTGTTGTATATTTTCAAAAAATAAAATTGTTTGTGAAGTCTCAAGAACATTTACCTGACTAAGGCTCAAAAAGTGGTCGGTAATTCACATTAATGTACGAGTAGGGGTACGAT